AAGTTTTCATATTGCTCTGAAGAGCATCAGCAAGAAGCAGGTTCTGGGCACAATAATACTGGTATCTGATCATTATAGGTAGCCCCTACATTCTAGACATAGGAAGAAAAAAAACCCAAAAAACACATTCCACAAAAAACTACCTTCTTGTTTTAGATATACCAAGAGATATTTAACTTCTACTTCAGAGGATGAACACAGTGAATGAGATATTTATTTAGAGCTTACCAGAAAGTAAGCCAATTATTCAGAACAAATCCTCATGCATCGATGACAGAGAAAGCCAGATGTGCTTGCTCAGTCAGCATGGAAGGTAATAGGGAAAGTCCAGGTGCAGAGGGTAGCCTACATCATCGATATATAGTTACCATTTCCATTTTTGCTCCTCCTCTTTTTTCGGCTTCTTTCTCTTGTCTGCTTCAGGGACTTTCTTATCTTTGCTCTTAGCTTTCTTTGCTTTGCTGTCCTGCAAAATGAGTACGAATCTGTTAGGACAAGCTACTACTGTATTTCCCCCCTCCCTGAAAAAAAATCTTTTAAAACTAGAAGACTGTCTCTTAGGGTACATAAGTTTGACCACAAACACCTGGATTCCTCTGGCCTCACTACATAAATGAGCTCTTAGATCAGTCTATTCAGTCAAAGTCTGCTGACTGTCCCACTTATGTTTTAAGCCAAATTCTTTTACTTTACACCTGGGATACGCTAAGTGCACACACAGCCAGTTATTTTCCCTCACCTGGTAAGGGGCAAGTCTGGGCCATAGGAACATGATTGCTGAGTTATAGAAACACCCTCCCTGGCCTGCATTAGTGTATCTGCTCTGGCTAACGCCACCGAGCACACTTACACCGCTGTGAGGTGGCTTATGGGAACATACCGGCATACACTCGCTATAGAGACACTTCCATTGAAGGGAAGAATTAACTGTGTTGCCCCTGGTGCAATGTGTTCCTCACAAGGGTATCTTTGCTAGATGCGGAGCATAGTTCATTAGTCTCAAATTATAGCTAACCTCCCTTTGCCAAGTCCCTCTCCAAAGACATTTCCACCCTAGACTCCATCTAAGAGCTTTAAGTGTCTTTCTAGCAGCTAACTCAGTTTCACATCCCCTGCTTCTGAACTGTGCTACATCATCTGTGCAATTACCAGATGTTGTTAGTAAGGCTCCTCTACCCTCTTAGTGAGCTACTTAATGGAAGGACTGTGAATTGCCTGGAACAGGCTGGAAGTTCACGTTCCGAAGGAATCTTCTCCATCCATTGTTTTAAGAGTAGGAGAGAAAGCTTTCCTGACTTTTTATACACTATGGCTCAGATAAGTTATTCTGCACCACAGGTGGGGATGTACCACATGCACCTTTGTCCCAGACTGGCCCCTGCCTCTTTACCCTTGAATCAGATACCTCCGCTCTACATAATTCAACAGCAAATTGTCAGCCTTGATCATAGAAATAAACTTGTCTTTCATATTACCTCTTCTTCCTCTTGTTTCCTTTTCTTTGCTTTCTTGATGTCTTCTGTTTTGATTTTCTTGGGTTTGTACTCGGCACTGTGAGAACAAAAAGACTAGTTGACGAAAATAATAAATTTTCCAGTACAAAAAATAAAGAGAAGTCATACATATACAAAGCTTGTGCACACAAGTTCACACTATTTCTGGCATGTGCAATTTCTAAAGAATATCATTTTATGACCTACTGTCTCAGAAGACCAAATAATCCCTACCCAGCAAAAGATCTTACAAAACCCTAAAACCCATAAGCTGTTACTGTAAATACCTCTCCACAAGTTTCAGACCACTGAAGCAAAAATCTCCCTTGATGAAGAATCGATTCAGAAGCATTAGTAGCCAGCCAGTGATAACATGGGATGGGATAAATGGGCAAAAGCTTAGTGGCATGTTCCACCCCTAACTCATTTTCCAGTCCTAAGTCCAGGATCTGCCCACAAGGCTCACTTTTTGCATCCCCCCACTAGTTCAAACAATAACAAAAGTGACTACTGGCAAATTCTTAATCTTTCCATTGCAGACAGAAGATGGGAGGTCACAAAACTTAACAGAAGGCACCAAACGATTACACAAAAGAAAAGACGTCACACCCATCTCTCTTGGAAACAGAGAAATACCACATAGGAACAGAATGCCACTGTGGCTAAACCCTTCCAACCCTGTAACTCCAGACTGCTAATAAGGTCACACTATCTAAAGAGCTGAATGCACACAGACGGTGACAGATCACAGCATGATGTAACTGGGCTTTTACTTTACTGGCTGGGCTACTATATCAGGCAAACATCATGCATATTTTTCTTTCGATTTAGAGACAAAAATCCTCAGCATAACCCACAACATATTTAGTCTCTAGGCGAATCATGCCGAGCAGTGCAGGCAAACCTCCCCCCTCTCCATCCCCAAACAGGCTGACAATGCATTTTCTTACTCTTGTGCAGTCATTTCCTCACCCAACAGAAACTACTGCAGCCACTTAGCCAGCATTAATATCTCACTTGCTCAGATTTATGTTTTACAATCTTCACTGGTGTCTTTTCTCTACTACCTTCTGGTTTTTTTCTTTTTTATTTACTAGTACCGCAACATTTCACAGCAGCAGGTAATGGTATTTTGCCTTGGACACCACAAATACTATCCTTTGGCCTCCTCAGAGAACTTGTAACAGCATCAGGAGCCTGGTCGCAGACCTCCAGTCACCCATCTGAACAAGTTTGTGCTGACAACCTGAAATCCCACCTGCTCCCTCAATGTTATCCTTCTAAAACCAAAGGCAAACATCCAAGCCACTAGCACCCACACCACTTACTCATCATCTTCTCGAGGTCTCTTCAGGGGTTTGGAGTCCTCTTTAGGAGATGCATAAAACCCATCGTCATCAGGTTCATCTTTAATACGTGGTGGACTACAAAAAGAAGCAAAGAAAGGTGGTTCGAACTTCAGAGAGGAAGTTTCTTGGAAACCATCAACAACCCAGTTTTAAGAAATGATCATCTGCAAAATGGGCACGTCTTCCAGTCCTGGAATGTATTGTCATCTGAAGACCCCAAAGACCTGAGATGTGTCATTCTCTGAATATCCACAGACAGCATAAGGAGAGAATCATCTATGTATCTGCCATTTCTCAAGCAACATCAGGATCAATTTCAACTGCTTAGATTTCACTGTATTTCTTTGAGGTTTTGAGTAAAAACAACTGTAGCTTCCAGCACTTTCAAATATACTTAAAACAAAACTGAAATGCATGCATGTGTGCAGTCAAATAGTGGACATTATTTAGTTTCAACTCAGTATCTTTATTGAGCCTGATAAGAGAGGAAAAGATGATCTACTAAACAAAGATTTGAAAGCCATTCCCCTGAATCTTTTGCCAACTAGATTATTGAGGCATGTGAAAACCAGAAAAGGAAACAAAGATTTGGTGAAGTTAAACTGATCAGTCTCTTTTCACTGTCCAAACTGCAAACAATCCTGTCCCTTTCAACAGACGGCAAATATTAAATTAGGCTCAATGTTTTCAGCCATAATGCCCCAAGACACCAGTAATAAGGGGAAAAAAAAAAAAAAAGGAGTGCAAGAGAGAATATCCCTTTGAACAAACTCATTATTTCTAGTTTTCACAGAAGCATTTCACTTATCTTCATAAAGAAAAGGATGTCTCAAAGAGTCCAAAATTATTTTTTGAAGCACTTAGTACTCAGGTAGAAAAACTAACAGTGCCATCTTGGGCTTTCCTATTCATATTCAATCAGCAATTTCTATATCAAATTGACTCAGTTTCAAGGTCAACATGTGGATTTTGCATTTGGATGGAGTGGGAGAAAAAAAAAGCAGCAGTCTGCTTTGTAGATCACAGTCAGCAAGAGACCTTCTAGAGTCTTATTTTAGCTAGTAACGTGTCCATGAAGCAGAACAAGGTAGTTTGCTCTTTCATAGCTGTAAAACCACTGCAGTGCTGGCAGATGCAGCTCAGGGGAAACAGATACGTGCTGCTCTAAGCAGCCATTTCTGTGGCATTGCCTATGATTAACTAAGACACAAGTCTGCAGCACGTGGACAGTTGCAAAACATCCATGGAAAAAGAAGTATTTGTCCCATTTAATTTATTCTCCCTTCCAGGCAGAAATCTAGAACTACTGTTTATTAAGCTGCTAGGAATTTTATCTTGTCTATTTAATGCTGAAATATTTCGCAACATTTTGTAATAGTGGGAAATAAAATGTGATTATATTAAAAGAAAGGAGCTGTGTGACCAAGCTGAACCTTGACTTGCATTGTTTCCAAGACTGCAGCATTGCTCATCAGACCAAGTCTTAAGGAAGAAAATCAAAACCATCTGAG